TTAAGGTGTTAAGGGATTAAAGAATCCAACATGTTTTCAAAATATTTAATTTGTGTAAAATATATTTTTGGTCATCAATTCATCAAAATAGTTCAGATCTAGTTCAAATTAATATTTATTCATCAACTCATTAAAGTTATTTAAAAAATCATCAGTGTCATCAATATTGTTTTCCACAGTATCAAGAAAGTCTACATTTTGTAGAAGGGGTGGGCCACTGGTCACATCTGTCTGTCTGTCTATCTATCTATATCCATCTATCTATCTATATCCATCTATCTATCTATCTATCTATCTGTCTGTATATCTATCTATCTATCTATCGTACATATGGACTATGGACATTTACCTAAGATAAGTGTGATGACCCCTCCCCTCCACCAGGGGTCTGTGTCTCATTTCCTCTCAGTTTGTCTTTCAGGATGTTGATCGGCCACTGATGGGAGACACCTGAGCCTGGTTTGGTCAGCTATAAAGGCTGCCCCTCTTCTTTGGCTGGTGCCTCTCCTCTCCTCTCCCACTCACTCCTGTTCGGAGGACCTGGCTGCTGTTTTGATGTGTTTGTTTGTTAGTTATTGGTTCATTAAATAAATGTGTATTTATTACTTTTAACTCATTTTGTCTCCCTTAATGTTACGGCCTTTTGAGTCAGGTGTGACATAAGAAAGAACATGTGTTACAGAAATGCAAAAACTGCTGACACAGAAAGATAGGTTCAAACTAAAGAGAAGTGATAGAGTTCATAAAATATTTTTTTTCTCCAACATCCCTCTTTTTGTCATTTTTGACAATCAAAGAACAAGCAAACAATTGGTAATACACAAATTCTTAGAGCATACATCTGTAGTGTAAATTCACGAAGATTCAGAACATCACATCATTAACTCTAAGTACATAAGAACATTTACTGTTTTAATAACACATAAGATAGGCTAAGTTTGTGTTTGGTTACACACAATTCTCAAGTTCGTCATCACTATCAAAGCTATCTGGATACGGAGGAATCCATTTATGAACTGGATACCGTATACAGTAGGTGTGCCCGTGGGTTGAACAGATACATAGGTTGTAACACTCTTCCTGACACAGATCTTAGAAATGGTTGCAATTAGGGTGATAACCATAATCAAAATTATGCCTCCTATTATCCATACCAATCCTTTGAGAAGACTAACGTGGTTAGTGATAGTAATAAGCACTCAGGCTCCAACCATGCATTCTAAAAGGGTGCCATTGCCATGGTTTTTCCATCGTTGGACAGCAACCTAGTCTCTTATGTCACCACCAGATGTCACTTGTTGGAGCTTGGCTTACTGGTGGAGGGAGGCGTTCGCTTTCACACCCTTCAACCTCTTAGACAGAACCAGTAGCAGGTCCTCCTTCACCTTCTGGATTCGGGATACATTTGCAGTGGCTAGCGTGGATCCAAGTTGCTTTCCCTTCCACCTTCACTGCCGTCTCAGTGGTCAGGAGTACTTGGAAAGGGCCCGTGTAGCGCTTCCAGTGCTTCCAGTGCTTCCAGTGCTTCCAGTGCTTTCTCCTGTGATCCTTAATGAGCACCCAGTCTCCTGGTTTCAGGTGATGCTGGATTGCAGTAGCTGGTGATGGAAGTGCAGCTTTCACCTGTGCGTGAAGTGCTGAGAGCAAAAATGAGAGGTTAGCACAATATCTTAGCATACTTTCTTCATAATGATCAGTTGTCAAACCCAGTTTTACTGGACCCAACCCAGTGCAGGGGGGTTTTCCAAACACTATCTCAAAAGGGCTAAGACCATGTTTGTTTCTGATACGCATGTGCATGTGGAAAAGCACCAGTGGAAGTGCTTTTACCCAAGATAGACCTGTGTCTTCACAACACTTGGCCAGTTTAGATTTAATGGTGCCATTCTCTCGTTCAACCGCACCTGCTGATTGCGGATGATAACAATGATGTCTGATGTTAAAACCTAAATATTGTGAAATTTCATTGAGGGCCTGGTTAGCAAACCCAGGACTATTATCACTGCTAATGAGGTGAGGTATTCCCCAGCCGGGAATAATCTCTCTCAGGAGAATCTTTGCCACTGTTCCTGCATCCTGTTTGGAAGTGGGGAAAACCTCAACCCATTTACTGAACATGCACACTATCACCAGGCAGTATTTCTTTCCCTCAGATAGTTAGTTCAATAAAATCCATCATTAAATGTTCAAAAGGTTTATCTCAAGGGGGGTGACCTTGTTGTGGTACTGTTATCGCCCCAGAGGCATTATTTGCTGCACAAATGACATTTTCCTGCAAAAACCAGAAGCAAAAGTTGAAAATCCTCTGGTGTACCAATTTGCATTTATAGCAGTACACATTCCCCCTTTGCCCACGTGGTCTCTTCCGTGAGATAACGTAGCATAAGTATGGAAGAGGGCGCTTGGCAAGCAAGGCTTACTGTGCGGGCCTGTCCAAACTCCACCCTTAACGGTAGCACCAGAGCGTCTCCACAGGGAGCGCTCCTGTTCATTGGCGAGAGATTGAAGTGTGGGAAGATCAGCATAAGGACTAAGGTCAGTTGGCGTGGAGAGCATTTGAGTGAGAGGGAAAAGGGAGCCAGATGAGGATGCTATCTTTGCTGCCGCATCTGCTGCTCTGTTCCCTACAGAAACAGGATCAAGAGAAGAGGTGTGAGCTTCACTTTTAACAACCGAAACAGCTTTGGTTAACAAAATGGCATCCAAAAGAGCTGAAACAAGGGTGTGATGTGCAATAGGTTTGCCAGATGATGTTAGAAACCCTCTGTGTTTCCACAGAGATCCAAAGTCATGTACCACTCCAAATGCATAACGTCAGTGCATCAGTGTAGATGTTAACAGTTTTACCTTCAGCAAATTTACATACATCTGTGAGTGCAATCAACTCTGCTGCTCGGGTGAGAAGTGTGAAGGAAGCCTGCCGCTAACAAGTGTGTTGTGTGATGTAACCACAGAAAATTCAACATGACAACTGTCCGTTTTGGGTGAGCAGAGCCGTCTACATATAGCTCAAGATCTGCATTGAGAAGAGGTGTGTCCAACAGATCAGGCCTCGGGGTACATGTCTGTTGCAAGGCTTCGACACAATCATGAGGCTCTCCATCATCTGCGGTTGGAAGAAGCGTAGCTGGGTCAAGGACATTGCAGCGTTTCACAGTAATGTTAGACAATTCTAACAATGTCGTATGATATCTGAGGCTGAGCCATGAGCAGAGACGTGACAAGTCTTCTGGGCATGCAAGATATGGGAAACAGCATGCGGGACCATAAGTGTGACGTAATGTGGCTTTCTCAGCTGCTGCCACAGCTCACAAACAGAGGGGAAGACCTGAGGCAACAGGGTCAAGTTGAGAGGAGAAGTAGGTGACGGGCCTAAGGTTCCCTCCATGAGGCTGACACAAAACTGATGTCATGTAACAGTCCTTTTGGTCTGTGAAGAGTGTATGGCAAGTTGGGTCTCGGCAGGCCCAGGGTCGGGGCCTGTGATAAGGAAGTCTTTAAGTCCTCAAATGCCTTTTTCGGCGTCTGTAGTCCAAGTCAGTTTGTCATGCGCACTAAGGCTTTTACCATGGACGAAACGGGTGCCTCTCTTTCTGAGTAATTTGGAATCCACTGCCTACAGTATGACGTCATTCCTAAAAAACCTCATTTGTTTCTTTGTAATTTTTGGTACCGATTGGATTGCCGCAATAAGTTTGGGAGAGAGGGATTTACCCTCTGCTGTGATCACATGTCCCAGATAAGTTACTTGTTTTAGAGCACATTTAAGTTTTCAGGCTAGCCTTGTGTCCATTTTCTGCCAAATATTTAAGTAGCGCTATTGTGTCAATTTTACAAGCCTCCTTTGATGGGCTGCAAATCATCATATCATCCACATAGTTCAAAAGGGCTGACCTCACGGGGAGCTGCAAATTTTGAAGGTTTTCGCTAAGCGCTCTGTGGAACACACCTGGGCTTTCATGATATCTAATGTCTATCTATCCATCTATCTACCTGTATTTATGTCTATCTATGTAACGGGTGTGGTAAGGACCCAGAAGCAGTACGACAGACACACTGAATAGTTGGAATCAAAGCTTTATTCTGAACTGAACACACAACAGGTAACAGTCTAGGATATGCACAGGTGTAGAATCCCACTCGGTGGAACGCCAAGCCGTCAAGGGAGAAGGCAGACAGAACTCTGAGGAAGCAGAGGCAGAATCTTGTGGTCGAGGACAGAAGGCTGAGTGGTTTACCGGGGCAGAGGCAAGGCGGAGAAGTCCGAACAGGCTGGGTTGTCTGCCAACCGGAAGGTCAAAGGTTCGATCCTCGACTGGGCCGTGTCACGTGTCAAAGTGTACACTGAACTCCCCGGGTGCCTGTCATTGGCAGCCCACTATATACAGGGATGGGTCAAATGCAGAGACAAATTTCCCCCTTAAAGGGATCAATATAGTATAATAAATTAAAGATTCTGCAGAGAACCATCTGGCAGTCAGTGTGTGAGACTGGGGTCTAAATGTGCAGCAGAGTGAGCAGGTGAGAGTGATGAGGTGGGTGTGACTAACAGGTACACTGAATGAGCTGATTAGGTGAGTAAGAGATAGAATGACAGGATAGCAGTGGCAGAGCTGTAACAATCTGTCAGTCTGTATATACATCTGTCTATCCATACATATGTGGGGGACTGATTGTTTAAAGAAATTATTTGAGTGAATGGGCCCCCTTTAAAGCTATGATCACACACAATATTGACTACTGGCAAATCCAGTACAAGACTAAAGGTAGGTGACACATGTGGTGGAGCTGTGATTCAGTCAGATGATCCTGTGTGGAATATTAAGAGTTAAAGAGCAGACTCCTGTGATTAAATCTGCCAAGCTGTCACACAGTTTAGCTCCCACTATGCCGGAACAGGCACGCACATGCCTAGCCTACATTACATAAAAAGAGCTGAGGGCTGTGTGTAGGCTGTCCACTTCAAGGACAAAAATAGTGTCGTCCACACGTGGGTGCGCACGTGGATGGTCATGTGCGTTGAACACAACAACAACAAAGCCGTTCCGCCAGTCAGATTTGTCCACTAGCTCAGAGCCCTGCCTCACCCAGCTCGTCTGTTTTCAGCCTAGCTCGCGCTCAGCTGCTGCAGTCATTTTATTTAAGCAGTAAGCGCGTGAGGTCCAGCCTCGGAAAGATGCCAGAAGTTCCGACCGGAGCTCCGGAGATGTCCAGGAAAAGAATCGCTGAGCCCGGTCCGCTACCAGAGCAGGTCCAGGAGAGGAAAAAGGCCTGCTGGGGCATTCTGACTAGCCAAGGTCGGTAGACTGCTGTGCTGTTTTTAAAAGCACAGGTTGTTTATGCTGCTGGGCAAAGGTAGAGATTTTCCTCCAGAGGGTGGTCAAACCTATAAATACAATCGTGTAAAAAGACAGTCAGTGAAGAATTAAAAGTTACAGCCTAAATATGTTAACCTATATGTTATAGGTGTTGTGGGCTATGTTTGCCATTTAATATTGGGGCCTCTAATTTTGCCACACATTTTTACAACTTTTGACAAAATAAAAGAATTTTCACTGCATTTCACTGCTGCATTTCACTGCTGTAGTAGCAAGTAGTAGCAAGTAGGCCAACTCTTATTTTCGTTTTCTGAACTGAAATTTAAAAAGGGATGGGGTTTCAAGTTGTACGCATTTTTTTACTGCACCATTTGGTATATTTGTTCTTCATTCTCGGTAGTGGTGCCGGATCTAACCAACAGGAATCCAAAATCGAGAGTTCAAATATGAGGAAATCGTAAATGTGATGATGTATTTTGACCTTACTTTCCCTTTAATTTTCTCCAACACTGTACAGTAAATAACTTGAACATGACTCCATAGAGACATTCAGCAAACATTTGAAGGAAAAACCATGACAGTTCAATGAGCAAATTGTCCGTGTTATAATGTAAATTCAGCTGACTTTCCCTTTAATTGTCCCCAAATCTGTACTGTAAAATAGCTTCAGATTTTACATGGTCATAGTCAGGTTAATTCTAAGCAGATTTAGATTGAAAATGTCAACAAACCAAATAATTTATTCATTTGATTTATGAGAGTTTAAAATATAAAACGATATCAGTTTAGCATTTTGAGTAAATCCATTGTGCTTCTCAGGAAACCTAAAATGGAGACCTTTTTGATCATATTATAGGACTTCTTTGATGACATCACATATTCAACAAGACATATTTATTATTTAATGTGTAGTAAATTATAGCTGTGATGCAAGTCTTTGTCTTTTTTGGCCAGTCCAAAAACTGTTACCATAACGGCACGAATAGATTGGCATCAAAATTCAAGTGCTGTGCTTCTCGTTCTGCCTGTCCATGCGCTCTCAGTGCGTTTTTTTTTTTTTTTCTCCACAACATTGTTATTTATGAATTTGTTTTTCACTGCGTGAGTCTTGCGGTCAATGCTTGAGAGTTGGCAGCCTTGCACAATATTTTCACCAATTTACGTCCACCAGTGCCATAGAAAGAGAACTGTATCGTTCATTCCTATGAACGTTACTCAGTAGCGTATGAAGCAAAAACAGTTTGACTTTAAAATTATATCAAATTCAGATAAGATTACCTGGATCTTCTGTAAAAGATGTATCCATGGGCCCAAAGAGCAAGCGCATGAGCGTGGCCTCTCAGGCCTCAGTCCAGCCTCTGTGTCGGACTCATTCACTTGAGGAAAATAACTTAGCTGTTAGTGAATTTTACAACTTGTAGGACCTAATGGTTTGAATAAGGGCTATTCCAATGTCTGTACTGGGAAGTTTATTTACATCAAAAAGAATTGCCCCTAATTTACAGACGTCTCTTTCAGTCAATGGGAAAAGGTTTTTTCGGCCCAATGGAGTGGACCGGAAGTTGTAATTCTACGGTTTCCTGGGAGCTTGATGGTGCATGTAGAGCTGAGAATTACCTGCACAGCTCAAATTTAAGTAGAGCTAGGGTCCGTGTGATGTCAATTTCATCATCAGAGGGTGTACAAGTAGGCACCATCATTTTATTTATATCATATTCAAAGATGGTTTGAACTTGGCTCATGTGTTAATTACAAAACGTTCCTTATTTACACCAAACCATCCCATTTGCTTGAGAGAAATGTTATTTCAAGCAGGCTGTATGGGATGGGCGATATGACAATACTGTGGAAAGATATATATTTATCTACCACGAAAGATTTGACTGTTTATACTGTGTAACTGTGTAATATCACTATCCCTTTAAAAGTATACTCTGCAGATTTAGCATTACACTACTGCACCCATTGCCATGTCAAATACAAGCAGGAACCTCGGGCTGTTGAGAAATAAAGCCAAAGCAGACGTGCCAAAAACTGCACTTATACTGTCACTTGAGGCTGGCTCCAAAAGCGAGTCAATCCCCATAGACCCGTATGTTAAAATGCTTAACTTTACAGCAGAAATAAATATGTTTACAGCCTGGTTTCAAAAGGGTTTCGGTCTCTACAGCTATAATCTCCGTTTGTGACAACTGTGCTATGGGAATATTTATAAAACTTCCCAGTTTAAATTATAGTAAGACATAAAGTTAATCATTATGAAGGTGGGTGCCGTCTCAGGTGCTAGCTGTCTGCTCTGCTGTGTCACACGGGAATGCCTGAACTACTCCACAGATCTACCTATCGTCTGTTTTTAGAGTTGGGCTGTGTCGTCACTCCCAAGATTGCAACAGTCGGAGCAACTTTTGAGCGTCACAACGACTCTTCAGAGAGCTATGTCACAGAGACTACATCCGCTACACAGCAAGGTGGAAGCCAACGATATGGCAGACATTTTGGGGCCAATCAGATAGTTGTAGCCATCCCTTTAAAAGTAAGCATGTGGCATGTAAAGAGGTGAGGGACAGACCTCATAGACCATCTAAATATGGCCGCTGTCTCTGTAACCGTCTAGTCTCAGCAGATTGAATTATAATAAAAAAGGCTTTAAAACATATGAGTAAACTGGTTAAGTTAGTTTGTTAGGTTTGATCTCAACACACTGATAGGATTGCTCTACCTGTGGCGCGAGCAACCAGTCAGTTATCCAGCTACTTATTCAGTTAGCTAGTTAGCTAGGTAGTAGTTATTATTAGTATTTGCATTGGCTGACAGTGTTCATTGGAGCCGGTAAGGGGATCTTCCAGTCTGACAGACTTGACATAAGGACAAGCAGGTGTGGTGGTCTTTCATTTCACTCAAAATAACTTGTATCTACCAGTGGCTGGATGTGCCGTGGGGAGATGGAGATATGGGTATGTTGTAGACAAGACTGTGAGTTTATGTGGTGTGTACTGAGGTGCAGTGGTGATGCCCCAGCTGTTGAGGAAACGGCTCACTCCCACTAAATATAACCACAGGGAGCGAAGCTGAAGACCTGCTACAGATTGTGTTTTGAACAGATATTTTCCTTTAATTCAAAATGAGTGGGGCTACAACGACTTCTATGTTGCAAACATTTTTTAGCTACTACTATACAATTATTTGTGATTTTAACATATCACTGTTTTGTATCTTTAAGTGTAAGATGGGGAACTTGAAACCGAGGTCTCCCGCCAGACTCCAACCAGGGACTTTGCAGTTGATGCTCGGTCCTGGTCCGCCATGGCTCCCTCTGTAGTTCAGAATCAGTATCAGTTTTATGCATGTATATGTATTTGTTTTTTAGCACCTCTCACAATGTACTTACACAAAAATAGAAATAACAGCGAGGGACAAGGACAACAAAGCTGGAAAGATTAAAATGTCTAACTACAAATGTTCTGTAAGTTATAAACAAAACAAATATGATGAATGAGAATTTAGATCTATAACTAATGATGAAAGTAGGCTTGCGCTGTAGAATTTAACTTATTTTTGGTGTAATTCAGCTCATTCTGGTGCCCCTGACTTATTACAAATTAGTTTAGTAGCCTCCTGACAATCCACCACAGAATGAGGCAGATGGCCCCAAATTATTCTTTAAAGCCCTTGTAGACTCTTTATGTGATTATAGAGAGGACACTGTGTCACGTTTAATTGCATAGAAAAGGACGGACCCAAATGCAGGGAGACACGGGGAAACAGAGGGTTGAATATAGGTGGTTTTAATAGTAAAGAAAATGTTCAACACAAAATTCGCGGAACAGAGGAGTCAAAAAATGGGTAACGAAATTGTCCAATAAAACAAAACTTCAAAACAGGGCACACGGTAGGGAAGAGCAGAGATGAATCGGGGAACATACCAGGGTTGATCAGCAGAACAAGTAACACAACGGACCAGGACACACACTGAGGCCATGTCCATACCATGGACACGTTTTAAAACGATCTCCGTCCACACAGCGTTTTCAGCATCGTTTTTGAATTGATCTCCGTCCAGACGAAAACGACTGAAAACGAATATCACGTGCCTATTCACGTACACTGGGCATGCGCGTGGGTGCCAGTGTAAAGAGGAAGTAGATTGGTTGCTAAGTTAAAAAAATACTACTAGTAATAAAGTCGTCTTTAATAATGAAAGTTCGTGTTTGATACTTAATATCTTCTCTAAAATCTTTCTATATAAACTCAAAACAGACACATTTCGTGGAAAGTTTTAGAAGTTTTATTTTTCAGGCTTAACGTTAGTTACAGCGCTGCGGGTCTTGCTCTATCTCTCTCACACATCAAATTCACTTTAAAATCAACACTTACACATAAAGGTTTACTAGATTATGGGTCCATGAATGTGGTCAACACACATCTCTCACTCGTTTCCTCTCGGTTTTGTTGTCTGTTCTCACTCGTAGCTCTGCTGGTGTCTGAAGTCTCTGTCTACTGGAGAGCAATTCATGTTTTGTTCCTTTTATAGTTTATGTGTGTGGACTTCACAATAGTTGTGCAGAACAAAATAAGCATTAATAAGGACAGGAAAGTCCTCAGTTATGTGTCCATCACCCTCCCTAAAGCCGCTAACCATGACTTCAGACGGCCGCTCTGTAGCGCTGATAAAGCCGCTAGACACGCCGCTCGCTAATCGCTCCAATAACAGCTGTTTCCTCCACAGAAATACAGACTTTAACTGGACAACAAGGTCAGCATTGCCTGTAATCAGTTCTCCATGTTGAATTAACCTGGTAGTCGATCGGTAATCAATGTTGTTTGTGAGCTTCTGGGTAAGGGTCACGTGATAGACATGTGACGAATCGGGGAAGGACACGGCATGACTGCTAAGAACCAATCAAGTGGCGAACGCGGGTGTGGGCATCATCGTTTCCAAACTTATCCGGTTTCGGCCGTCCACACGAAAACACAACCGGGAGTTTTCAAACTTATCCGTCCTCGGGAGCGTTTTCAAACGTATCCGTTTTCGGTGCTCGAAAACACCGGCGTAGCGTGGATGCTCGGTGTAAACGTAGCAAAACATAAGCGTTTCCAAATGGAAACGGAGTAGTGTGGATGTACCATGAGACAGTGGACACACAGGGTTTAAATACACTGGGAGGGTGTAGGTGAAGGGCGGGGCAGACAATCACAAAGGCGGGAAATAGACAAGGACAGGAAGTGAAGTGAACACAGGACACAAGAGGCAGGGAAAGTCAAAATAAAACAGAAGAAACAATTAAACCCAAAACTGTGACATTCTGACAGCTTGAGTTTGTAGTAAATCAGTGTTGTATCCCCTGCATACTGTCCTGTCCATCACAGTGTCTGTCTCTGTCAGAGAATGTTCAAATCAAGTGAAATTCAATGGCATATAACAATATAACTCTGTGTGTCAGTTAAGTGGCACATTTTGCTACACTTGTAACAAAACTGTGTGTGTGTGCGTGTGTGCGTGTGTGCGTGCGTGCGTGCGTGCGTGTGTGTCCAGGGTCCTGGGCAGATTGCTCCCCTCTCCATGAAGCAGCTTCTCAGGGTCGACTGCTTGGCCTGCGCACTCTGCTGGCACAGGTAAGGTCCTTACACACACACACACACACACACACACACACACACACACACAGGACATTTGGCAGGGATTAGTATTTGCACTTTGTGTTTGGTACATTTAGTGTGTGGAAACTTATGTTGAATTAGGTTGTAGTCAAGAAAAATGCTTTTTTGATCCAGAAGCCTCAGTTTACTTCAGAAAACTCCAATGTGAGAACCTTGTGGGTAATAGACTTGCAGTTGAATATATTATTAGATTCATTGTTTGAATGTGTTCCATTTTTTGATGCTGGTCTGCAGCTGAATTGCACTGCATACAACATACAAAATAAGGATGTGATATTCTAGCAAATAGCCTACCCTTAATGCCCCCGCCCCCATATAACCCTACACCCCAGATTAATAGATTACATACATACATACAAGGATGTGGAAGTGAAAATACTTTGAATTAGTCTTAAATTCATAGGTCACAGTAAATATAAAAATAAAAGTGATCATGAAAAGTCAACATCTAAAACTCGGCAAACTTGAGTGGCCGTCTCTGTTATCATTTTCTCGGAATGAATTCAAAACAGAAAGACTGACCCTAACAAGTCAAATACAAAGACAAATTCAAACAAGGCAGTGTGCTTCCTAAAAAACTAAAGTCATAACACTGTGTGCTTTGAATTGTTTAGGGATATCACACCAACATTGTCACCATCGATCATGTGACCCCTCTCCATGAAGCCTGCCTGTCAGGACATGTGGCCTGTGTCAGAGCATTAATAAATGCTGGAGCAAATGTAAGTATTCGTCTTCTTATCCCCGCCATTATTACATGTTCACCGTGTCCACCCTAAAACACATTACTGTCATTTAGCAGCTGCTTGATATAGTGACTGTTGTGTATTTCTCACATATATGTGTGTTTTTAGGTGAATGCTACCACCATCGATGGTGTCACTCCTCTGTACAACTGTTGTGCCTCTGGGAGTGTCGGGTGTGTGGAACTGCTGCTGCAGAATGGAGCACACACACACACACCCTACACACACTTCCCCTCGGCTCTGCACGAAGCCTGCAAGAGAGGTAAATACAGAGAACAGGGTCTTTGTGGCAGTATATGATTTAACAGTTCAGTATCCAGTGTGTGTAGTTATAGTTGGATTAGTCTGTGTGTCCAGGCCCAATATCTCAAACACCACATCTAGAGCTGGGCAATATATATCGATAGTATATAGATACTGTGAAATGAGGCCAGATATCTACTTAAATTTTGAATATTGCAACACTACCTGCAAGGCTTTTTGAAGGCGGCTTTAAAGATTGGTCCAGCTGTTCTATGATTTGCCTTTACCCACTTAGTCATTATTTACACATTACTGAAGATTATTTATCAAAAATCTCATTGCGTAAATATTTTGATAGCACCAATGTTCAACCCTACGATATTGTTGCAATATTGTGTCAAAGCATTTGGTCCTAAATGTCTTGCTATTTGATTTTCTACTTATCATCCAGGTTTTGGTGGAATGTGGCTGAAAATCTCACCTAATTTATTCATGGTTGCATTTTCAAAAGAAAACAGATCAGCTGCTGCAACATTTATAGGTCAGGTTGTAATGTGTAACTACAGTAGAACGGTCAGATCCTGGTAAAAACCTGATAACAAAGAGCACAAAGGGCTCCAGACTGCAACCATTATTTGTGAGACTGCCAGTTAAACACAGCTTGTGGTGCACGTGTACAAGCAGTGTAGACCTTTATGAAACAATCCATTTAGCTGCTAACATGTTACAAAATGATTATTCTTATTATTTTAAACACCATGCTGTACCAAAAACATCAAGTGTTGATGCAACCAACTGAGAAAGTTGGTAAAAGTGGAAAAATGAGTCCTGAGCCCTGAGTATTGCTCAATAACTTGGCAAATCAAAAGCAACATAAGCTTTTACAATTACCCTTCAGCGTTTTAAAGTTTGTGAATGTTTCATCATTGTGTGTCCAGGTAATAGCCAGTGTGTGGAGTCCCTGCTGTCTCATGGAGTAGATCCAGACTATGAAGTGTCCCACTTGGGCAATCCTCTTTATATGAGCTGTCTACACCGGCACACGGCCTGCTCAAAGATCCTGCTGCACAGTGGTGTGTCTCATTTACTACATTTTAACTTGTAGGACACCAGTGTTACCTTCTGTACTGGGAGCAGGTGCCCACAGTTTTCTATGGCCCAATCCCAATCTCCACTCTCCAGGACTCGCAGACATTGATGTGCGTTCCCGCAAAGTCCGTTAGGGTTCAGGACTGTCCCACTGTCTGAGGGCTCTCTCGCAGACATATAAGGCCCTTTATGAACCTTTTCCGTAAGTCTGCATTTCTGCAGAATTAGCCACAATTCATAGCAATGTGGCGTTAAATACGAGGTAACCTGTGGCGGCCAGAGACGTAAGGAGAAAAAAAGGTAAACCAAGAGAAGGGCACATGGGTGTTCAGCCGGGCCTATTACATTTACACAAAAACATTAAGGATTAAAGATGGAACATGAAAGTAGAGGAATGCAAGCAGAGACTTTTTTAAACAGCTGGTTTATTCATTAACCGTTTCTTTTCATTTTGTTATTAAAGCTGTTTTGAGAAAAAAAATGAGTAAATGGATTATTTGAGAATTACAAGCCTGGAAGACGTTCAAATCAGGGAGTAAAAAGTATAAAATAAATACCCACAATTATACATAACATGATATGACGTCATGGTAACATGATATGTTGCAGCAAAGTGCTGTCCCATTCGTATTTACACCATTTCAAGCCCTCACAGTCTCTCACACTCGTCAGAATAGTCCCTGAGGGTTAAGGGTTTCAGGCTTTAGGGGGACATTGGGCTTGGGCCTCTGATTGTTTTGGTCTCTTTGCTCCAGAAAATGAGCAGCTTTAGTCACTATACCCAAAGTTTTGCTAAATGAATGCTGCAAAATGGGCTGTGAGTCTAAGGCCCCTAAGGCCTGAAGCATTGAACCCTCGGGGACTTACTGACGTCACCTGGTAAATGGTTGAGTGTGAGAGACTGAAAGGGCTTGAAATTATATAAATACGAATGGGACAGCACTTTGCGGCGACACATCACGTTACTTGATGACATCAAAACATGTTATGTACAATTGTGGGTTTTTATTTTATATTTTTAATACTTCCTGATTTGAACATATTGCAGACTCTTGCCTTATGAGATGAGGGGTAATCTATTTATAATCTTTTAATAAATGGTTGATGAATAAATCAGGTGTGTAATAAAGCCTATGCTTGCGTTCCTATGGTTCACGTTTTTATATGTACTATCTTAAATCGTTAATGTTTCTGCATAAATTTAATATGCCAGGCACAATACATGTGCCATCCACTTTTTTTGAACCTTTATTTTACACCTCCAGGCTTTCCTTGGTAACCTTGTGTTTAAAGTCACAATGCTATGAATAGTGGATAATTCCCTCAGGGAAAGTCTGCAGAAATGCGGACTTACAGAGGGTGTGCATAAAGGACTCAAAATGTCTGCGAGAGAGCCTTTAAATACTTAATGATTTTACAGTGGGACAGCCTTGAGCCCTCACAGACTTTGCTTGCCGCATCACAAAGTCTGTGAGTGTGGACATTGTGATTGGGCCTTAGACTAAACTACCAGCAACCTTTTCACATTAAAAGGAATGTTTTGATTTCGTGCTAATATAGAAAATATTGCTTAATGCAATGTCAGAATGTTGTACTAAAAATACCTTTTACTTCGGCTGATTAAGACTAATCTGGAAGTTTTCCTGACCACCCAAAGTCATAATGTTCTTCTCTGTCTATTTGTAATCCTCATTACTGAATAGATTACAATGCTCTCTATCAGACTGGAACCAACCGACAAAGGAATCAATAGCAGACTCAGGACACAAGGCATTGAATCAAAAAAATTAAGGCAATATAAAAAAAATGCAAAGGTATCAAAAACGCTAGGCAACAGTCCAAAAAATACAGAAACGGGGTCTTCAAACTAGAGAAATACACTGAAACTAGAATGCTGGAATGCTAACCACAAAGAGCTAAGACGAACTGGCAACAGACAAGGAGAGCACAAGGACTAAATACACTGAGGAGTAAGGGTGATGAGGGACAGGGAAAACTAATGAGGCAGGTGAAACTAATTGAGGAGGTGGCAGACAGTCACACAGGTGGGAAACACATGAGGGCAGGAAGTGAAGATTTCTGAAATCAGAGGGGGGGTGAGTATACCAAAATAATAAGTGAAAAGCAGAAACAATGAAAAAAGAACGTGATAAGGAGGCTTGGATGCATCACCTGGCCTGTGGTTCTCAACTTTTTTTGTATTGTGACCCCCTTTAAATCAAGCAATGTTTATTTGTGACCCCTTGTCACAGGTTATTGCCTTGGAGTGGCCATTTATTCCTACTGGGGATGTCTCAGTTAAAGGATTTTTTCAGGCGTGAAGAGGTGAAGGTATGCGCAGTGTCCAACAAGAAAAATGCAAACTTTTTTCAGGATTATCTTGGGACCTCTTTTGGGGTCCTGACCCCCAGGTTGGGTTCCACGACTCAAGGCAGTTTCTCTGTGAAGAAGTGATGTTGCTCTGCATAGGGGTCAAATCAGGTGTATAGTTATCTTCTCTTCCATCGACAGCATTAGGAAATGTATTATTAAAATCTTCTCTCCTCTCCTCTTGTCTGCGTCTTCTCTAGGAGCCAATGTTAATGTAGGCAGAGGAGGTGACAGCCCTCTGCATGCCACTGTCAGACAGGACAGTGCAGATCAGGTGTCAGTGTTACTGGACTATGGAGCTAATGTCAACATCAGAGACGGTAACGATCAGCGGCCTGTGGAGCTAGCGCTTGCTGGTGGAAAAACACAACAGCTGCTACTGACATTTGAAGGTACTGCAATATCTTCTCCTGCAGTGATTCTCAACATTGATGCATGGAACCACTCGAAATTCAGGTTGTATCACAACAGTAAGAGGAAATCCCTCTGTCTCTTTCTAGGTTGTCCGAGGAGTCTCTACCAGTTGTGTCGACTCCAGATCAGGAACCTGATTGGTCGATCCAGACTGAAACTGCTCCCCCTCCTTCCTCTCCCTACCCTCCTCACTGACTACCTGGAGCACATATAGGATGATGGGCACACATGCAGTAGGACAGGGAAAAGCAACTACAATTAGATGACATTTCTTTAACATTTTAAATTTCGATGTGCCAAGCCCCCTATTAACCATTTTATGTCAACACACATCACAATGTTTTTAACTGTACGGTTGAGTTTGCCTACTACAACGTCATTACACCACAATACACTGAAGATTTACTCTGCTGCAAGCTGTACTCTGGGAACATAGTGCATTGCCTTTGTGTTGCCATAATTGGTTTATTTTAAATGTTTATTCATTAGGACTTGTTTTTCCCCTGACAGATGATTGTGACTTTTGGTGATCTACACTTTGAAATTATTTTGTTACCATTTGTTCATCCAGCACAATATGTCATTTTGTAAATATTGGAATTTATTTCCCATTGACAAGTACCGAACTCCAGGTGTTTTCATGAATATGTAAATAAATATGAATAAATTATCCATGACATGTCGACCCCACTGACCTTTTCCAGCAGTCTCACAGCAGTGAACATGGACAAATGGTACACTGTTGTTTGCAAAAGCAATGTATGAGGCCAGTAGACTTTTTTAAATTGTCATGAGGTCATTTATTAAGGCATTATGAAAATAATTATTTTTGGTTGACTGCAGACTTAAACACACATTTAGCAAGTAGTCTAGGAAGATTCTCCAAGTCATATAAGCAGCCTACAGCTGATTTGTTCTGCTGTGGTGTTTGGCAATGAAACCCTTTGTCTAAGGAATGGTGATGTGTCAAATGGCCTCTGAGAGGTGATGCTGGATAATCTGAGGGTATTCTGAAATTAACACAACAGATCAAATTGAAATTAACAACATAATTTACAAAGACAACACTCTACAAACATGTATTATTATTATAATGCTTTATAATAACCGCTTTATAATAATTATCTCTGCATTAGTAGGCTATTTGACGTGGGCGTTACAACAATGAGCCACAGCCCAAGGTTTATTATTGAGCAGCACACCTAACGAATGTTCGAAAAAGCAGACAGCTAGGCCTACTCTAGTTACTCTTCCCACACCCAGTGAACCTGCTTTAATACCTGAGAATCCACGAGAGAGTCTAACGTCATGTACGCTATGTATATTACAGAATGACTAATATATCAGGCAACATTCTTGCTTAAGTGAGAACCATTGAATGCCGCTACAGGCGTGTACCTCTGGGCTGGGCAGAACAGTGGTAGCAAGTCAGAGAGACCAATTATCAAGAAGGACACCGCGTGAACCGGAAAGGAGACGTTTCCATCAGCCTAACACAATACAAAGTATCATTTTAGCAGAAAGCACCACCGCTTGTCGAGTTAATGCCAGTGTCGTCTAGAACTAGCGTTAGTTGTTAGCTGGCTGCCTATCCTGCCAGTTGGTTAGCCCTTGCTAGGGGCAATAACGTTAGCAGCTAGCTAACGTTAACACATCTAGCTTATCTGTTTTCAGCCTGGCTACCCGGGAAGAGCTTCCAAGATGAGGCTGAAAGTTGGATTTATTATACGGAGTTTGCTTTTCATTGGGACCTTTCTTGGATTGTTGGTGCTCTGGTCTTCTCTGTCGCCGAAACCCAACGATGACAACCCCTTTGAAAAACGGGTGAGTTGACAACAGCAACCCAGTTAACCTAAAGTGTCCAAAGGGGAACTGCATGTAACAATAGTCCGTGCTAGCATGACTCGAACCCAACACATCGAAGTGTATAATACACGTACCGTTAGCTATAAGATATGATTAACAGGGATGGTGACTGATAATGACAGTAGGGTCATAGTAGCAGATTGTGTGTCTTAAATAGTAAGAACATCATTCCTAATGCAGCGGAATGAGTACGCATTCATTCAGCTGTATGGCTAGCTCTAGCTACTAACTTACATCGGTTGTCATGGAGATTTGTTCGTAGCTAGCTACTAACTTAGCTGCATCGATACTCTTTGCTTATGTAGTAATTTGACACATTTTGTATGTAACATAACAGTTGCAACTTTTGTCGTTTAATACGAGTACAGTAAGCTCTATTCACATGTCACTGTTACCATTAACTCTGCATTCCGAAATCACACTGGATATATTCGCATATGTCACCATATTGGCATCATGCCTCGCTAAACCGGAACTGTCTAGAAAGTTGACATGTGTTCACTTAACGTTATGTCTTTGCTGAAAGTCCTGCTATTTCGACCAGGAATATGTTTTTAACATTGTCACATACCATTCTCCTGAAGCACGTACGTCCCGTGATATAGTTTTCCGAAAAGACCAGTTTAGACCGTCAAATGATGTTATCTTTTCTTTTTGATACGGAAATGCGTTCCGACTGACATTTGCTTTAAAGCGTGAATGGCAGCATCATGATACATTTATGGGTAGGGTATAAGTGTGCCGACAAGCTTCCCCGGTCTTCTCCAAATAATACATTCTGTAATGAATGATAATTTACAAAAACATTGTTTATCAAGTGGATGTGGTAACTACTAAGTTTTTAAGCGCATGTGTGTGCAATTTATTTCCCATACCCAGCATTACTTTAAGTCATTGGTCCAATGTTAATTAATGTCCCTTCTGGAGACCTCTATTCTTGTTATTTAATTTCTTCAGCTCTGACAGCAGTTTGAGTTATTGGGGGGTAGGTCATTGAAATTGTTGAAGCACATCAACCCAAATAATAAATAAATGTACTATATACTACTATAATGAGTCTATCCAGGCTAGATCCTGTAAATGACAGGATGTGGAGTAGTCAGGGCATGTGTTATCTATTACACACTACCTCCTACAAGTAACCTTAAATATACACAGACATAGAGTGATTAGTGCAGTTATCAGTGGTTGGTTAATGTTTGATCCACTTAAATACGAATCCTTCTGAATGTGAATTAAACAAACTTTATGGATAGTAATATACACTAACAATGTTTTGAAACTTGGTTACCTGAGCACAGAATTAAGTCACCTCCTCTGTGTGTGTGTTGTAATCTGTGTTTCTTCCTGCTTTATTGACATTGTTGGGTCAGCTCGGATGCCTTTAAGTGCATGTTTGTGCATGTGAGAGTGCCCCACTGGCTAGCTCACGGCCGCCACTCTGCACTGCGCTCATACGGCAGTTACAGGTGTAAACACCGTCTCGATGGATGGCGTTGTTGCGGAAGCATAGTGTCCACCCTCCAGTTTCCCCTTAGTTTAACACTGTTAGCTCTGTTAGTACTTTTTCTGTTGTTTGCACTGTTAGCGCTGTTAGCATCGTTAGCTGCAAGCCGCCGGCTCAGCCATCGCCATGTTGACAGTTGTTGAGAGGCAATAGAAATGCTCCCAATCTCGTATTTAGCACCTTTAAGATTTCATAAAGACATTGAATCTACGATTGTATGCCACAAAATTTCCATATGAAGGAAAAACCCCATTGAAGTATAGGGGAGCAACAAAAAACCTTTCTACAAGTTAAGACTTTTGTAAAATTAGGCTTGAGTGACATGATTATTACATTGGCTGTCTATGGCTGGTGGAGTTTTTTGCTCACCTTTGGTACAATCAATAGGAGCCTTTTTATGCCTCGGCGCCGGTGACAGCCGTGGCCGGAGGCAATATGTTTTCGGTTTGTCTGTCCATCTGCCCCATTGTTGTGAACGCGATGTCTCACGAGGAAATGTCCTCAAATTTGGCAACAATGGTCACATGGACTCAAAGATAAACTGATTATAATTTGGTGGTCAAAGTTTCAAACACATGTTATGCCAAAAAGCACAACTGTAGATCAGTGGTGCTTTGTAAACTCCTTGGTAGGAATGTGCATTTGTAAACCTTGTGTGCGTGCATGAGAACAAACAAAACGGTATAATGCTGCAACCAGGGGTCTAAAATTCAACAAGGTACCTTTTTTACCGTGCATAAGGTTCCCTAAATGGTTAATTGGGTCTGACTCAACCATGCAGTAAATATTTTAAAAGCAAATAATGAGGACAATTATCTTTAAAAGCTCATAATGACAAACCCACAGAGCATTATGTAGGCTGCATTTATCCCCCTCTGTTAGTGATTACTTGTGACAGGCTCTTATCAGCTCTAAATAATCTTCCCAAATGATACACGTAGCTGTTAATCATATTGTTTTATTATTACTCATTCATTTCTTTGTCCCAGCAAGTTCAACTACTGTATTATTCTCTGATGTAATGTTTATAATGTGCATTCTGTGCAATGTGTCTGTCGTATCCTCCACACAGGATGATGGTGTGCTGCCCAAAGGAGACCTAGCTGATCAGTTTAAGCCTGTGGTGCCCTGGCCTCATGTGGAAGGGGTGGAGGTCGACCTCAACTCCATCAGACTCAAACATGGTGAGGCACAGTTCCATTTTTAAACGTCCCATAAACAAACCCAGCTTCTACATTTTTAAGAAAAAGGCTCAAGCTTTTATTTAGCAGGCACTGCTGTAAAGGTTACCTGTCATTTTAAAGGTCCTGATACATATATTACATGTACAAATTTTATATGTGTGAATTTTACCAGGAAGTAGTGTTTGCAAGGTAGTTAAGGCTGTTAGACACTGTATCAGAAAAGTTTAAGAGAGTCTGAAAACTGTTGAATTTACATTTGTTTATGATTTGTTTACAACAATACACTCATTGTCCAACAGAGGTTTAAGATCTGTTCAACTCTCATCATTTCATACATTTTCAAAAGTTAAGATATTTCACCATATGAAGGCAACTCAAATGAAAGTGTCAATGTAAAGTAATGTTGTAATCACATTTAGATGGTGTTTAATCTGTCCCATTTATTACTCCAGAAAGAAGTAATTCTTCCAAAATCTCCAAATATTCTCTCTACACACTGTTGATGATTTAAAATTGTCATCCATGGGCTAGGAGGAAATTTGGTGCTATTGGATGACATAACAAAACTGATAAAAACATCAAAACATTTATTTCTATCAAAAGTAAATGTCAGTTGCAGCCCTAGTAGCTGATAACAATGCAAACAAACAAACAGGGATTTGGATCAACATCTGTAATGAGGTCCTTAAAAAAATCCCAGAAGCAGAAGAAGGTTTTCTGAAATCTGAAAATGAAGGCAAAAGACATTAGGTACAGTTTTATTAGGACGTTGTGGTATTGTGTCATCTTTTGGTGTCTGGTTGTCATCTCCAGGTGGTGCCAACCATCCCCATAATCCCGACCAGCAGCCAAACCAAAAACAGGTGATCCAGCAGCAGTATGTGACATTCAAGCCCCACACCCAAGCCTACACCAGCCCTGTCCTGAAGAAAGGTATCCTGGGAAACTTTGAGCCCAAGGAACCTGAGCCTCTGGGGGTCCTCGGCGGTCCTGGAGAGGGAGCCAAGCCTTTTGTCCTGGGTCCAGAGTACAAAGACGCCGTCCAGACTTCCATCAAAGAGTTTGGGTTCAACATGGTAGCTAGTGACATGATCTCACTGGACAGAACCATCAGTGATATACGCCATGAAGAGTGAGTACTACCGTTCATACTGACTACAATTCTACCACCTACTTTACTCACTTTGTTGTTTGTTTTAACTGTGATCAACCCTAGATTACTATTACAACACTTAATCCTAATATGTCATAATAATTTACCACCACATTTGACATTTACATGCGTCTTCGGTAATCCGATCACAAATGCACTCAGGATGCATTGAGGAATCATTGAGGTCCGATCGTTTAGACCACATTTGAAGGTGGTCTGAGCACATTCTTTTAGCAGTGTGTAGGGGAATGTGTCCTGATCCAAATTGAAGGACCGCCTACTCTACTGATTTGTGTGAGTGTGTTTGTGTGTGTGTGTTGCCCACCGAGAGCAGTGATCCACAACAGCTTGTGTAGCCGAGGGTTATGTAACGCCTATACTTTATGAAGGTAATAAAATGATAATACAGAGGAACTGAACCAAGACAGAAAACACGTTATAACTCCCACATTGTCAACAGCAGTATATAACAGTTTCACTCCTTCCTTTCTGACCTTTCAAAATAAAATCCCTTAACATATACTCTGCATCAAGAGGCAACTCAGTTGTTCCAGTGCTCTGCACAGATCGGACACCTGCCTACCTCAACTCATCCCCAGCTTTCTGAATCTCTGTGGCAGTACGGAGGTCCCCGGGGACCCTTGTATCTTTATGTTCATGAAATCTACCCAAATTCACAAATATACAGGATATCACTACTGCTGTCTCCCGCCGAATTTTGTAGGTGTAAACGTATGAGTGTTAATGTATGAGCAAGTGGTCGTTTGTGGTTCATGTGGAGACGCATTCTAGTGCCAGGTGAACTGAAGTAGAGCCATCCACTTTTGATCGGATCACCCAAGACGCATGTTAATGCCAGGTCTGAACAGGGCCTAATCTATCTAGCACCAAACCAGCCCAAGCACCTGATGATTAACTAAGCAAATATGCAGACAGACAGACAGAGGTGTGAATCGTACACACCCTACTAAACAATCTGCCGGATTGACGGATGAACCATGTTTGCCGTCTTTCTGAGTCCCACCCAGCCTTTTCAGAAACTCCAACAAAGGCTGACAATGTATTTCAGCAATATTTTTTACTGTTACATTTAAGGTAACATCCAGCACCAAACTGAAAAAAAATAAGCACAAGAAAACATCAAAACATCATTGATGTTACCTTACATTTATGGGTCGGCATACTCCACGCCCTCTACTAACAAATGGCAGTGGCAACAGCAGTGTACGTACATGTTGTATTTTAGACAAAAGAATGCCAAGAATCGACAAGTGAACAAAACAAATGTAATTATTCTTTTGTCTTAACGATCACAAGTTAAACACCATTAATATGACATTTATGCTACAAAGTAATTTACCAGAAAGGGGTGCTTGCACATATTTGTCTACCAAAACTTGCAGGATGTCATCTGGAATAATTTGGACCAATTTTCTTGTTACCTGTGTTGAGGAAATCATTCAAGTCCAGTTCAGAAGTTGCTGTGGTGTTGTGAGCATACTGGTGACCTCACAGACACAGAGCAGATCTGAGCCGGTGAGTTGACCGAGAACAAATGAAGAGGAAGCATTTTATACAGGGAGCCAGAGCAGTGGTTAGAATAAATACTAGAAGACAGAGGTAAAGGGGGACTATGACAAAGGGGCAGGAAGGGGGGCATTCACATTCAGACCTGCAGGAAGGACATACAGTTGGCATTTGGTCTATCAAGGGGTCGACACAGCAGGGGCCTGAAGTAGCACCTAGGCATCATTTGGTTAGGAAGTCTGGCCCCAATGTGTATTCTTCATCACATGACAACCCTATGCGTTTCTGCATGACCTCTCTGCAGAGCAGACTTTTTGTGACACAACTCTCTAAAAATGGCAAGCCTTAACTTAAATAGTAGTCTTTACAGAAAGCAGTGGTAAACATGGTTCTCTGATTTGTTCCGCCAGTTTGAGAAATAGTCAACCAAACCTAACCTTTAAGTGGGAATAAGAAGAAGTGCGACGGAGCTGTACTGGTTATTCAGTCGACTTACAGAAATAACAAACTAAATCAGCTTAATGTTATTTCATGACAACTGTAGGTTAAATTTTTCTGGCAACCTCTACCATGGCTTCTTTTTGAAAATTGCATTAGCGGGAGGGATGTTTCACTGTGTCTTATCCTTGACCCCAGTGCACCCACCATTAGGCTTTCTCTCCTCTCTCAGCTCAGTCCCCACATTTTACTGGAAACCAAACTTCTGAATCTCTTGGAGGATTAAACACTCCAAAGGTTTAGTCTTATTTCCTAGCCATATGGTTACAGTAGACAAACATTGGTTAAATGACTATAACTATTAAAGGCTAGGCTTAGAACAATCAGTAACTCCAGATCCACACATTAAAGACATCTTCTTGATTGACCAAACCATCAAGAAAGATGTTTTACTTATCTCATCATCAACGCAACATCCTTCACCACAATCTCGCTCCACCAGAACAAACTCCACCATGGAATCATCAAATGTTTTGTATTGGAAAAACATTTTTTTCCAAAAAATAGAAAGGGAGAGGATTCAGCCTGATCCGTCTTTTCAATAATTGCTTGCTTTCAACCAACTCCAGGACACATCTTCTGCCCAATCCAGTATTTGCAAATTTAGCAGGCTATACAAGACAAAGTTAATATTGACACCTTTCAATGTTCTATTCCACCCCTTTACCAAACACTCCTCCATCTATCTAAATTCAAAATCTAATAATGATATTAGATAATGATACAGTCCGGGCGGGTCGGGCGGGAGGCCCGGGCATGCCGATCGCTGGCGGCATAGACTAGCTCTCGGGACGTGGAACGTCACCTCGCTAGCGGGGAAAGAGCCGGAGCTGGTGCAGGAGGTGGAGCGATACCAGCTAAAAATAGTTGGACTCACCTCCACACACAGCGTTGGCTCTGGAACCAAGCTCCTGGAGAGGGGTTGGACTTTGTCCTTTTCCTGAGTTGCACAGGGTGAGAGGCGCCGGGCGGGAGTGGGGATACTCACGAGCCCCCGGCTGAGCGCCACTGTGTTGGAGTTCTCCCCGGAGAGCGAGAGGGTTGCCTCCATGCACCTACGGGTTGCGGGGAGCAAGGCTCTGACTGTGGTTTGTGCTTATGCACCAAACAGCAGTTCGGAGTATCCGGCCTTCTTGGAGTCGGTGGGAGGGGTCCTGGAAAGGGCGCCGCCTACCGACTCCATAGTTCTCCTGGGGGACTTCAACACTCACATGGGCAATGACGGAGAAACCTGGTGGGGGGTGATTTGGAGGAACGGCTTGCCCGATCTGAACCCGAATGGTGTTTCGTTATTGGACTTCTGTGCTTGCCACGGTTTGGCCATAACGAACACTATGTTCAAACATAAGGTGGCTCATAAGTGTACCTGGTACCAGAACACCTTAGGCCGGAGATCAATGATCGAATTTGTAATCGTATCATTTGATTTGCGGCCGTATGTCTTGGACACTCGGGTGAAGAGAGGAACAGAGCTGTCAACTGATCACCACCTGGTGGTGAGTTGGATCAGATGGCAGGGGAACCGGTTGGAAAGACCCGGCAAACCCAAACGTAGTGAGGGTAAACTGGGAACGTCTGGCGGAGGACCCTGTCCGGGAGGTCTTTAACTCCCACCTCCGGAAGAACTTCTCACACATCCCGAGGGAGGTTGGGGACACGGAATCCGAGTGGACCATGTTCAAAGCCTCTATTGTGGACGCGGCCGCTAGGAGCTGTGGCCGGAAGGTCATCGGTGCCTGTCGTGGCAGCAACCCGAGAACCCGGTGGTGGACACCGGAGGTGAGGGAAGCCGTCAAGCTGAAGAAGGAGACCTTCAAGGCCTGGTTGGCCCAGGGGTCTCCTGAAGCAGGTACCGGCAGGCCAGAAGGGCTGCAGCTGCGGTGGTCGTGAATGCTAAAACTCGGGCATGGGAGGAGTTCGGGGAGGCCATGGAGAAGGACTTTCGGTTGACCTCAAGGAGGTTCTGGCAAACCATCCGACGGCTCAGGAAGGGAAAGCAGGGCTTACCCCAGGCTGTTCTCAGCAGGGGGGGAACTGCTAACACGGACGGAGGACATCGTCGGGCGGTGGAAAGAGCACTTTGAGGAACTCCTAAACCCGACCAACATGTCCTCTGCAGAGGAGGCAGCGCCTGAGGACCTAGGGGGAGGCTCACCCATATCCCTGGCAGAGGTCGCTGAGGTAGTTAAAAAGCTCCTTGGTGGCAAGGCGCCAGGGGTGGATGAGATCCGCCCTGAGATGCTAAAGGCGCTGGACATAGTTGGGCTGTCCTGGCTGACACGCCTCTTCAATGTCGCATGGGGGTCGGGATCAGTGCCCATGGAATGGCAGACCGGGGTGGTGGTTCCCATCTTCAAAAAGGGGGACCGGAGAGTGTGCTCGAATTACCGGGGTATCGCACTACTCAGCCTCCCGGGGAAGGCTTATGCCAGGGTGCTGGAAAGGAGGCTCCGACCGCTTGTCGAACCTCAGATTCAAGAGGAGCAGTGCGGATTCCGTCCCGGCCGTGGAACAGTGGACCAGCTCTTTACCCTCGCAAGACTACTGGAGGGGCTCTGGGAGTTTGCCCAACCAGTCTACATGTGCTTTGTGGACTTGGAGAAGGCTTTCGACCGGGTCCCTTGGGGGGGTCTTGTGGGGGGTGCTGCGGGAGTATGGGGTATGGGGTGCGGATCATGACCTCCAGCATTCACTGGGGCGGTTTGCAGCCGAGTGTGAAGCGGCGGGGATGAGAGTTAGCACCTCCAAATCTGAGGCCATGGTTCTCTGCCGGAAACCGGTGGATTGCTCCCTCCAGGTGGGGACGGAGTGCCTACCTCAAGCGAAGGAGTTCAAGTATCTCGGGGTCTTGTTCATGAGTGAGGGTAAGATGGAGCGGGAGATTGACAGGCGGATCGGTGCGGCTGCAGCAGTAAAGCAGGCGCTGCACCGGACCGTCTTGGTGAAGAGGGAGCTGAGCCGGAAGGCAAACAAAGCTCTCAATTTACCACTCGGTCTAAGTTCCTACCCTCACCTATGGTCACGAACTCTGGGTTGTGACCGAAAGGACAAGGTCGCGGCTACAAGCGGCCGAAATGAGTTTCCTCCGTAGGGTGGCCGGGCTCAGCCTTAGAGATAGGGTAAGGAGCTCGGTCATCAGGAGGGAGCTTGGAGTAGAGCCGCTACTCCTTCGC